GGTACAACATCGCGGAGAGTGGAGAAGTGGCAAGTGCCTATAAAGAAGCTCGTCTTCTATTCCGGAGACACTCAAGACCATGGCAGAACGTGACTGTAGCAGTGAAACAGTATTTAAGGTGAATGAGACTCGCCTGTTTTGGAAGAAGCCTAAAAGAACTTTTATCGTACGTGAAAAAAAACTTTCCAGGCTTTACGGTTTCTAAAGAACGATTAAAGTGATGGTTGGCGGGAATGCAGCTGGTGGCTGCAAGTTAAAACCTCTCTTAATTTACCGCTCCGAAAACCTAACAGCATAAAAAAAATTAGCTTACCAGTGATTCGGAAGTTAAATCATAAAGCTTGAGTGACAGCCTACGTTTTTCAGGACTGGTTTGATCACCACTTCATACCCGAGGTCGAACGTTACTGCAAGTATAAACAGATTCCATTTAAAGTGATGCTTCTTATTGACAGTGCACCCCGTCACTCTCCTGCCACCCTAATTGATTTGACCCACTTGTGAAAGTTGTTTTTGCCTCCAAACACAACCAGCTTGCTTCAACCGATGGACCAGGGAGTCATCAAAACGTTCAAGGCTTACTACACGATGCATTCGTTTGCACATCTGAATGAAGCTGAGGCAAAACAGTGAGATATCTGTCGAAAACTTTTGGAAACAACTTAGCGTTTTAGATGCCGTAAAAATCACTGAAAATCTTGGGATGAAATTTCAAAAAAAGCAATGAATGGTGTCTGGAAAAAAAACTTTTCCATTTTTTTTTCAAAAACGAGACGAAAACAACACCGGAAGCTGATCATATCGCTCATGTGATAGAAGTCATTAATCTTGCCAGGCAATTAGATTTGGCAGCCAATGTTGATATGTCAACGAGCTGGTGAATTCACATGGTGAGGAGCTGACAACAGATGAGTTTAGAGATGCGTGAGCAAAACGTCACCGAAGTATCCGACACTTCAGACCCAGTTCCACCAGGAAAGCACATGACAATTGCAAGCTTGACAGAAGGTCTCAGCTCAACTGAAAAGGGCTTTAAAATTTTAGAAAACATAGATTCCAACAAAGAACGCAAAGGAACAAAAAATTATTGGCCCGCCACGAAGAAATTCTTCGTGAAAAAAGAAGGCATTGTGTCGCCAAATGAATTTTATGATAGATTGTAGTTATAATGTTAGATTTTATGAAGCAATCGACATCGAAAACCTTTCTACGTAGCTCATCTACTTTCTAAATATTTTGTGTTAATATGCATAAAGAACTGTAATTTTATTAAATATTTTTCTTCTAAACTAGCGTTGTTGTTACTTGGTCCAAATGAAACAAAATTTATATGCAAATTCGTACCCCCGACTCACGTGAATTCGACTTCCGCGATTTTCGTCGGACCCATCTATCGCGTAACCTCGGGGTATTAGTGTATACGGAACAAAATAAATTAAAATATATTCATTCACGCCAGGAAGCTTCTCCAATAGGTCAAAATGATCGCCAATAGTCGAATCGTGCCTTCATCTGTGAAACAGATGTCTAACACATCCAATAACACACTGAAACAACATACCAATGGCTAATGACATACCAGGCAAAACAATCAGTCTCCCAGAAAGAAGACCGCTAATGATGTCTCGGTCTGCATCTCACAAATCACAAGACTTGAAACGAACTAACTAC